GGCAACCCCAAGGTGCTGCAGTCGCTGCTGCAGAACATGACGAACTGCGAGTTCAACGTGAACTCCTTCGGGCCCGAGGGGCAGACGGCGCTGCACCAGTCCGTCATCGACGGCAACCTCGAGCTCGTCAAGCTGCTCGTCAAGTTCGGCGCCGACATCCGCCTGGCCAACCGCGACGGCTGGAGCGCGCTGCACATCGCCGCCTTCGGGGGCCACCAGGACACCGCGGGGCCCGCCCCGCCGGCCCCGGCGGGGCCGCGGCGCCTCCGCGCACTGCGCGCCGCTCTCGGCGCCTCCTGATTATTTTCCTTTTTTTTTCTTTTTTTTTGAAAGATTGTGTATTTTTTTGTTATTTTTTTAATGTCAAAGCTGCTTGGACTCCATGGTTTTGTGTTGGGTTTTTTTGTTTTGTTTTTTTTGGCAAAGAAATTTGGGGCCCCCTCTGAAAAAAAAATAACCAAGCCAACCCCACCATTTACTTTTTTGTTGTTGTTCTCCTTTCTCCGAGGGTTGTTTTTCCTACTGTAATTTTTCTTCCTCCATCTACCTCGGCTGCACTCACAGTATTCACGGTTTCAGTTTGACATCTGGTCGGATGCTTTAAAACGCTCCCCACCCCCTTTTCCCCCCTCCTACCCGGGGAACGTTTAACCCTTTTCTTCCCCCCCATTCCCTGTCAACCCGGGTGCTGGCCTGACCCTCCATTTTAAAGTATTCTGGCTCAGAAACGAATTCATTTCAACGTTTATTCCCTCCCATCCGAGTGGTGCTTCCCCCGCCGTCGAGGCGGAGCGGCCCCCGGGCCAGGTGGCTCCCCGGGCCTCGGGCGGGTGCCCTGGTGGCACTGGGAGAGCGGCCCCTTTTGCCGTCCTCTCCCAGCGCTTTCCTACTGTTCGTTTTTCCCTTCTTTTATTTTATTTTATTTTTTGGGAACTCCGTTGGAATATGACACATTTTCCCACCCTGCCTCGTGGCTTTTTTGTGTATTTGCATTGGGTTTTCTTTTTTTTTTTCCTCCAATTTCTTCGTTTGATTTTTTTTTCTTCTTTTTTTTTTCTTTTTTTTTGGTGGGGGGAGTGTCTGAAGAAAGCCTGCATCCTCACCTGCTCCTTGAATCCGTTTAGCACACGTGAGACCACAGGAAAAAAGACATTCTATTTGTGTGTGTGTGTGTGTAAAGGGGGATTAGCAAATCCTGAACTTTTTTTATATATATAAAAAAAGAAAAAGTGAAATAAACTCTCGAGGCAGAGGATTTGCTTTTGCACAGAAAAGGGCCGTGAGCGCTCTCTGCTGTCTGGAGAGATGCCTGAAAACTACTGAGAATTAGCTTGGGAAGTTTTTATTTTAAATTTTTTTTTTTCTTTTGGTGAAACTTGGATAACACTTCTCAATGCAGAATGATTCATTGGACTTGTATAGCTTCACCTGCCTTTTATATTATATATATATATATATATATGTCTGAGTATATATATTTATAAAAGAAAGGGAAGAAGAAGAGAGAGCCACCGTAAGTCGCATTTTGAAGTGACTGCACGTATAATCGCAAATGCTGCTTTTGATCGCGCTGGCACAAGAACATCCCGTCGGAAAATGCAGAAAAATTTCAGAAATCTCCTTTCTCCCACCAGTCTTTCAGCCCTCTGCTCTTCGTCTGCACTAAAACCAACCATATCACTGCCGTCTCCCTGCTCTTTCCTTCCTTGCTTCCTTCATCCCAACCATTACGATTAAAAAAAGAAAAAAAAAGAAAGAGAAAAATTAGTTACCTGCTGTTTATTTTGGTTGTGTCTTAACTATTTATCATGTATGTATATATTTTATGGGTGACGCTAGTGAGCCTGGTTTTGTTTGAAGCTGTTGATGAGTGTTTCAAAATATGGTTTGGGAAATATGCTTTTTTTTTTTCCCCTCCTAGTCTTAAAACTGAAAAAAAAAAGTTGCCGTCGTTATTTCCCCATTGCACTGAATATTCTGCTTTGTCTGATGGTTTCACCTGTGTTTTTTGTTTGTTTTTGCTTCAACAATTTGAGATGATTAAAAAGCTCCAGTTTTAAAGAGGGGGGGGAAAAAAAGGAGAAAAGGTAAAAAGAAAGGCCTGTTGAAAGTGTCTACTGTTGTTGCTGTATTTCGCAAGGAACTGCTTTGTTGAAATCTTTATTTTCTGTGAGCATTGAAGGCGGTGTTAAGCGCTTCCCTTGGTGCTTCTGTGTTAATAGTTATGGGGTGGGGGAACAATATCTTTTCTAGAGAGGTTTTTATTATGGTTACCAGACAGTTGCACATATTTTTTTTTTCTTGACTAAATGGATTTACCACAATGAAATGTCATAACATTTATGACATGATATTAAAAAAGGTGTATTTTAAAGCCAATTTCTAGATGGATTCTTTAAAAAAAAAGAAAAAAAAAAAAGAAACCTTGGTTATAAACCCAGTCTAAAGGGAGCTCTGTCCAGTGTTGTAAAGACAACATGATGTAACCTATATTTATATTTTTATAAAATACCTATTAAGACTGTGAATATCTCCTGTGTGAATTGCTGAGTGAGTTGAAGAAAAGTATTGTTCCTTTCCAGCCTCCTGGAGCTTTAGACACGCTGAGATTTTTAATTTTTTTTTTTTTTTGAAATTGTATGTTGGGGGAAGGGGGTTTGCTCTGAAGTTGTGAGTTGATGTATTTTTACATCCCTTTTTTTTGTGTGTTTTACTGAAAAGCTGCTGCCCTTCCTAGTCCCTAGAGTTTCAATTTTCTATGCAACCCCCTTGGTCCCCCCCCAAGTCTCTCTTTATCCTGCGAAGTCAAAGGGATGCAGATTGATTCAGATCGAAAGGAGGGTCCCCCTGCCCCCTCGTTGGCTCTAGTGCTGCTGACCCTTCATGCCAAAACGGGGAGGACGGGCGAGAGGAGAGGCAGGGGGAGGCTCTTGCGTGCGCACCGCCCCACGGCTGTCGCCTTCTTTAATTATTATTATTATTTTTGTAAGAAGAATATATTGATAATGTCAGTGAAATAAGCAGACATTGAAGCTGATGCACAGATTGCTCCAGAAAGGAGTTTTTCTGTAGATTTTTTTCTTTAGATGCAAATACCTTTTTTAATTATGTTAATTAATGTTAAGAATTTTTAGGCTTATATTGAAGCTGTATGTGGGTCACTATATGATCATTTCTAACTGGATAAAGTCTGTACAGTACAGCATATTCCTGAGTGTATGATATAGATGTGTAGCCCCAGAGTGCGAAATTTATAAATAAATTTTTCATTGATCTTTTTATAAAAAAAAAAAAAAAGTCGCCTTTTTTGTCTGTTCTTTTCCCTGCACAGTTGGTGGCAGTGGCGGAGCTGCCGCTTTCGGGATGGCTGGGGACAGCTTGGCCACTGGAGGCACCGGGAGTGACACCCCCGAGGTAGCCGTGCGGCGGGGGCAGCTGCCGGGGTGCCCGGGTCTCTCTTTGGGCATGGCGCGTGCCAAGCTGCGACCTTCGGCTCCTGGGGTGGCCCTGGCACTGCTCTCGCTGGCTTGGGATGGCCTCAGCCCAGTGTTCATTTCTGGTCCTTGGTGGGAAAGGGGACCCAGCAGCTCTTCTGGCCTTAAATACATCCCCTGAAGGGTTGCTTGTGTGTGCGGGATATGCTGCCCTCTCCCATTCCCCGGGGAACATGTCCTGTGGGTCAGGGTCCTGCAGCGTGCCCGTTTGCTCCATCCCAACCCTCCATGTGCTTGTTGCTCATTTATAGACATTGGGATGGGGACCCTGGAGCACCTGGGCTTCCACTGAAGTCCTGTGTCAGCCTAAGCACGCAGGGGTTAAGGCAATAACCAGAACAAGTTGGGAAAGTCCCCTGTGCTCAAGAGCTAGGTGGGAAAGCCAGGCTCCTCGAGGCTAACCATGGAGCAGTGTCCAACAGCAGGCATACAGAAATGCATAATCCACCACGTGTTGCCCTAGCCTCATTGGCTCCCTGCTAACCCTTGGAGTTTATTTTTATCCGTTGTCCCCTAGCAAGAGTTTGAGGTAGCCTCTCTGGGGCTGTGATGGTGGGGTGATTTCCTTTGGAAATTGCTGTCAGATTGATGCAGTTGGTGGCTTCAGGTGGGTATGGAGCGTGGGTTTGAGGCAGCAGAGGTGTCTGCAATCTCCTCACACGGCTAAGAGCAAGACAGCAAATGTGGGCAGGACTCTGCATCTCTGGATGCTTTCCAGGTGGAATTAGGCTGGTCCGAGGAAGTGAGAAGAGTAGGGATAGCCCGATGCCTCCATTGTCTGGGTTCCCTTCCCAAAACTCGGGCTTATACGGGCCAGACACGGAGGAGAGCCATGGGCATTATCAGGAATGGGCATCTGTGATCAGGCTTTTTCTTCATGTTGATAATCTGGGGGGATTTTGAAACTCCCCAAATCCCTGGAAAATTTTTCCATGCCCAACTCAGTGTCTGAGGTGGATCCTTGCTGTATAAGGCCTCAAAGAGCAGCGCCCTGAGAAGAAGCCCCAGCAGAAAAGCCAGGTGTGGGACAGCATGGGCGGGATCTCCCCATCCTGGTGTGGCCTCGCTGGCTGCCTGGCCTTCCTCCCCTCTGCCATGGCCTGAGCACCAGGCCCTGCTCCCACTCTCCATCTGATCTGACTGGGATGGGTGCCGGGATGTAGCATTGGCATAAGCATTGCTTTGACACCCACAGACGCCAGCACTGCAAGTGACCTCTTCCACACTGAGGTACCATGCGCAGGGTCCCTGTCACCAAAAGGGAAACTGAGGCCAGGACCAGCTCGGTAGAGCCCTGGAGCCAGGTGCCAGTGAAGGCCTATCAAGATAAGGGCACCACCAGATCTCCCACCAGCACCTTAGTGTCCCAGGACTGGAGGGAGCTGTGGGATTGCATCTGTGGATGCTGTCACCAGTTCACTCCATGCAACTTGCCTCCTGCAAGCTGCGTATCCCTGCACCCTGACCGTAAACCTGTGATTTCCGGGCAGTGAGATGGATGGGTGCCATTGCCACCCTTCCCCTCACCTCGTCCTAGGGTGCTCAGCCGGCTGCTCCGCGTGGCCCAAGGCCCGCAGGAGGGTGACGTTGCCCAGGGCTCCAAGGAGCCGGTGCAGCTCTGCGCAACCCCGGTCCCTCCGCAGCAGCGGGAAGGGGCCGAGGCTGCGGCGGGGGCCCTTGGCAGAGGCCCTCGCCTGGGCACTGAATACAAATCGCGCTCCGCTGGCACCGGCCCAGAGCTGGAGAGGCCGCATTGCAGGCCCGCACGTGCGCGGCTGACAGGGCTGCGCGGGCAGAGCGGGTCCT